GTGAACACCAAAAGCATCACGCACAGCATCATTCACGGCATCGGCTTCATCCACTCGAACTCCCATCCGTGAAACTACTGGAACTGACTCAGCACCCATATCTAGCCGTTCCCCATGTAGTTGCCAAAATACGTACTCTCGCGGAAAAGGCTTAAAGATTAAATGTTCCCTAACAATATCTTTGGGATGCCACTTTTTGAAATTACATTTAGGACAGGGACACTGAATCTTACCATTTACGGCAGCATTGGCGAAAGCAAAATCCAAGAAATAGTTTAGACCAGCCAAGTATTGCGGAGTCGACCGGTGCAAGTTGATCCACGACCTATCCATCACTAATAATGCTCAAATTTCGTGAAAATATGACACAGGAAGCTCAAAGAGAAGTTAAAATGGAATTCAGTTGGAGTGCTTCAGCTTATAAAAGAGGCTGTCAATGTAGTGGAACGGTCATTTTTTTGTAGCGGTTTTAACGGTAAGTTTCATTTTCCAGCGGTTATTAACCGCTAGAAATTCAAAATATCGGTTACAAACCGATAGAAATTTCTATTGAAATTTCTAGCGGTTAGAAAACCGCTAGAAAGGTTCGCGTTGTAATGAAATTCGGTTAAATTTTCTAACGGTTTTAGAACCGTTACAAATAATATTATTTTTAAATATTAAATATAAATACTGCGCAATAAATTAATAACATTACAAAAATAAATATTTGTTAAATTAATAAATGATTATAGAATTATTTTGATTAATTAACATGTTTAAAGTGTTTAATAAATTGTAATGTTGATGTTGTAATAAATAAATAAATATTTCAATATTAATTAATACTTGACATAAATAAAATTATAGAAATAAATAAATAAAGTAAACAAATAAATATAAAATTTAAATAAATATCTAAATAGTATATAAAACCATAAAATCAAAATTCTAATAAAATCCCATACAATGAAAGCAAGATAAATCATGGGTGAGGGGCAGAAGCAGCATCATCGTGATCATCCTCTGCTGGATCCTCCGGCTGGGGGTGGGCAGGCCGCTCAACCTGCTGGGACTGGACTGGCGGATGGGGGGGTAGGGGCGGGACTGGTGGCAGGTGTAGGTCGGGGATCTCAGGAATCGAGATGTTTGGAGCTATACTGACCACCACATGACGCAGAGCCGTAGCAGCTGCCAAGAGCTGGTCAAGCTGCGTCTGGAGCTGACGATCGCGCTCCTGCAGCTGACAATCACGCTCCTGCAGCTGACGATCACGCTCCACGATCCTGGCCTCCATCCTGGCCTCGAACTCTTGTCTGAGCTCCTCTCGCAATTCCTCTGAGGATGAGGAACCCGGCCGCTTCGCACTCGCCTGAGAGCTCCCGGCAGTATATGAAGGGCCAGCGCCACTTGAGCGGGGCAACCTAGTCGATGTAGGTCCAAGTCCAAGCCCGCTAACTCGACCAGGGTGCTGCGGCCGGCCACGACCCGCTAAAAGTGAGGCGGTGGGATCCAAGGCAAACCCTTGAGACTCACGCAACTCGGAATCGACCTGAGTCATCCGTGCCTACCAAAATTAATATAAAGAAGTTAATTATAATATAATGATATCTACACTGTGATATTATATTAATATTTAATTTATTACTTACCGCTATCTCCTCAACCTCATCCGACGCACGCCCGTCTCGAGGTCTATACACCATCGGCCACATCTCGCCATAAGTGGCTGTGTATCCCCGCTCCTGCCGTATCTTTTCCCTCTGTAAATGAAATCAAAGAAATAATTAGTTACAAATTACATACATATACATATTTAATAAATTTATTTCAAGTACTCACAATCTCGTCATAAGTGATCGCAAAGCTCCTGGATCCAGCCCTATGACATATCGTCTGATGCCTGACGCTCCCAGCATTTCTCCTAGAAAGAGCCTGAAGCAAAATGTAAAAAAAATTAAATTAAATGAGTCAAGTCGGATAAAAAATAAAGAAATTATAATTAATACAATATTATCATACCATCTGGTCAGCCGTCATCCTAAAAAGACTAACTGGACCAGTCTTGCTCCGGGACTCCACCAGGTACATCTGCCAGTATCTCCTGGAGGGGTCTCGTCCCGTCACCTTTCTTTTCCCTCCACAGGTCGGCCCTCCTGTTCTTCCATGCCATCCCAAGCCTCTTGATCGTGTCAGCCCTCAACTCCTCCCCTAGAATAAATTTACTCTATGATTAAAATAATAAATTAACTAAATAACAAATTATAAACAAATAATTAAGCAATTTCAATAAAAATATTTAGTTTTTAACTAATTTAAGAATATTATAAATAAAATATAAATTAATCAAAAACAAATAATAATTAAACAATTAAGTAATTTAAATGAAAAAATATTTTTACTCAACTAAATTTAAAATTATTATAAGTAATAAATTAATGAAATCAATAACAAATTATTTTCATTTAACTACTTTTAAATAATTTAAATAAAAAATATATATATTCATTTAACTACTTTTAAAAATATTATAAATAACAAACAAATTAAATAAATAAAAAATTATAATCAAACAATTAAATTATTTGAAAACAAAATATATAATCATTTATTTAAATTAAAAAAATTATAAATAACAATTTTATATTACCTTCATCATTTCCCAACCTTGTTTCTTCTTGTCTGAGGTGATCTTCTTCCAGTCCTGCACGTAGATGGGGAACAGCGTCCACTGCTGACCAAGGAGGCGCACGTACTTGTTGTACAACTGGCCACCTTTCTTCGTCGGTTGGCCCAACTCATTGAGCGGCACAACCACTCGTCCGCTCGTCATCATAGACAGCTCTCTGGCTGTCAGCCTCCGATAGGACCTGTTCCCCTCAGTGTCTGCAAAATTTAATTAAGAAATAAATTATATATCAATCAATTAATACAATTTCTATATAAATTAAATACTGATCAAAATTTTAAAAAGTTAAATAAATACTTACCGACAAATTCCACCTCATAACCAGCCTGACGTCTCGGAGCAGGACGCTGCGCAGCCTGGGGATTCTCATTCCCCTGATCCTGCTCCTCCTCCTCCTCCTCGTCAGCAGCATCAGCATCAGCATGGGGTTGCTCATCCCCAGTAAAATGAGCCTCCTCAGTCCGCTCAATATCATCATGCTCCATAAAACTGAGGATATCCTCCTCGCTGAGATCGTAGTCATGAATGCTGGGGAATGGCTCACCAGCATCATGATGAACCTCACTGGGTCCAGCTCTCTCAGGATCAACTGGGTCCTTCTCGTGCCGACGACTCATCCTAATAACAACAAATAGTAATTATTTATAAATAAAATAAAATAAAAAATTATTTATAAGCCACAACATAATAAATTAAATAAAATAAAACATAAAATAAAAATTATTTATCAATAAATTACTATTTTTACCTGAAAATAAGGATCTGCAACTGAATCAGAACTCGAATATGTTTTGTGGAGAAAATTCAGCAGAGCTTCGCTTCCAGAACGATTGAAGAAGTGAAAGTGGGGGGGTTTATATAGGCCGAGAATTTCTAGCTGTTTTAGCCAAAACCGCTAGAAATTTCTAGCGGTTCTGGACAAAACCGCTAGAACATCCTAACGGTCAAGTGCCTCGGGAATTGACAGAAATTTCTAGCGGTTCGGGTAAAAACCGCTAGAAATTAGTAGCGGTTTTTACCCGAACCGCTAGAAATTTCTAGCGGTTTATAGGGAAACCGCTAGAAATTTCATAACATCTCGGGAAATTAAAATATTTCTAGCGGTTCATGCATCAACCACTAGAAATTTTCAGTATCTAGCGGTTTATTGGCCTGAATCGCTAGAAAATAAACGCTACAAATTTGGCGCCAAGTTCCCACCAAAACCCGGGAAATTTTCTAGCTCTAAATTTCTAGCGGTTAGATGGTAACCGCTAGAAATGTGTGGGCAATGGTCAAACCGTCGGTAATTTGCAACGGTTTTTCTAAAAACCGCTAGAAATGTTGGAATTTGTAGCGATTTTGTTGAACCGCTAGAAATGTTCCGCTGCTAATTCATCATTTTCTTGTAGTGATCCGAATTTTCTTAATAGTAAGTTTCTCGGCTCATATTTATAGACATAAATATTTAAACTATGTGAACCATTGGTGATAGTATTCAACTTAAAAATATAAAAATAAAATTTCATCTTTAGGGAAAAAAAACAGTTTTTTGGTCATTCAAATTTTAAGTTAGTTACAATTCATCAATTCTTCAACTATGACTAGGTTAAAATATTACATTCACTTTTTACAAAAATCAAATCAAATCTATAATTTAACCACTTCTATAATTTTTTTTGGACTCTGAGATCCGGTTCTTAATATAAGAATTGGTCGAATAATTTAAGTAGATTAAAAAAAGTAACTAAATTAATTATTTATAATAAATAAGTGTTGTCTTTCTTAAAATATGTTTATTAACAATGTGTATCATTTAAAACTATTATTTAATAAAACTTTTAACATATGCAACTATTATAATGATTACTTGAAAAAATAAATGAACATAAGAAATAAAGCATATCAATATTTTATATTGATGATCAAATTGAATATAATCTCTTATATTAACCACGGTCAAAAAACAAAAATCACTAACCAGATGTCAACATTTTGCATCACATGGGACCACAACGAGAGGAAGGGTTTTGACTGGGCCATGACTGTCCAGAGTGGATGATGGATAAACTTTTTTCGGATAGTAGTGTCTGGGCCAAGTAAATTAGTCATTGGGTCAATTTGAGGCCGAAATTAGATGTTTTTAAGTATTTTCTGGGCCGAGTAACTTACTCATTGGGTCAATTCGAGGCCCAGATTAGTTTTTTTTTGGGCAACACGAAGGTTTATTGTTATACGCACACTTTCCGCATTTTTTCTTCCTCACGTTCTGCTGGCAGCGCCGTACGGTAGCGGCGGTGGAGACAATTCTGGTTATCTGATTTCGCATTCAACCGGTGCACAAGGTAAAGTCCTTGGAAGCTAATGTCGCCTTTTTTTATTTACTACTTTGCACCTGATTTGATGTTAGCTCCTAGAGACAAGCCCTTGCCTTTTACATCTTGAGCCTTTTGGGCATTGGCTGATCCACTTATCTACTGTGATTTCCTAGATTTCGCTCATGAAGCTTCAATATGTTTGGGGAGGTGGTTTCAAATCATTGTGCGTGTTTGTGTGTGTGTGTGTGTGTGTTGTATAACACGAAAATATTGAAATTTTAGAGTTTGATTTTGTACCCGTAATCTAATTTTGCATTTTTAGTACAACCTATCTCTGAAAACTATAAGGTGACCTGTTGTTTTTAATCCGTTGTGATCAGACCTAGAGTAAGCCTTCAGCGGCAGTCTTAGATTGGGTATTTATTTCAAATGGTTTTATGGAACAAATATTGCTGCAAATCATTTATGCTTCGCAGTTCGAGGATATTCATTAGATTTGTTGAACCGAATTTCTATGATTTGGGATAATCATCTCTGGTAAAGAGCTCCTTCGTCTTCTTTTTGTGTTGCTGGTGATAGACATAAAAAGAAATTGTGGGTCCATTTGTTTAATGGGTAGGTTTAACAATACAGGAGTATATTAAAAATGTCATATTCTGTTCTACTTAATAAAGTGTATGATATCGTAAACCTGTCTTGATCAGTTCTGGTCCCGTCCTCAAAGTTACCAGTAAGCAGTGGAATTTAAATCAAATTTGAGGGCCGACAAAATTAAGCAATTTCAAGATAATTTCATTTTTATATTTGCTTTCCCTTGTTGGGATTCAGTACTTTTGCTTGTTTAATTTGCAGCATTGATGGCATCCAAGTTGCAGCAATTGCAATCCAAAGCTCGCCAATCATCACAATTTGGAATGGAATCAACTCAATGATATACATGGAATTTTGACGGGATTTTATTGATTGGATGACTTATCCTTTGTGAGTGCAATACAATGGCCAAAGGTCCTGCCTTTTCTCTGTTTCGAGTTTGCAGTCATAAGAGAAGTGCATCAAGGTTTCCAGCTCTTCTTTTGAATCACCATCACAGTTATGTGGGGCAACCTGAGTGTTCTTTTGCTTCTACTTATGATGTACCAGTACGCCCTTTTTCTACCCGGTTGGTAAATCCGGTAATTTTGACATATTTTACGTTAAGTTCAAAGGCTTCCAGTGGAAAAGTTCTCTTTCCTAGGTTATTTTCATCATTGGATGACAGCGACAATGATGATTTGAAGGACGGTACCCTCGCTGAATCAGAGTTTGAGTATGACGCAGATGCTGGGAGGCCTGTTGATTTTGAGCTTGAAAAGTATGATAATGTGAGTGTTTCTTCCTTGGATGGAGCCAGGAATGATGTGAATGATCCATGTAACTCAGCAGTTCTTGAATTGGAAAAGAATGTAGATAACGATGATGCAGATGAATTAGCAAAGGATGAAAAATGTGTGCAATTGGCATCTCGGGATCCTGTCGACTTATACCGAGAGCTTTGTAATGTTAAAGGGGGTCCATATATGGATAAAGAAGATTGGGAAATTGTGCAGGAAGTGTTTCATTACTTTGCCAGTTCTGGGTGGGCATCCAATCAGGCTCTTGCTATTTACATTGGTTTGTCATTTTTCCCCACTGCCGTGCACAAATTCCGTGATTTTTTTGCCAGGGCATGTCCATCTGATCTTGCTAATTACATAATCTCACTCGGTCCATCTGATGCTGCTGTGAAGTTTTTATTTCCTATATTTGTCGAATATTGCTTAGAGAATTTTCCAGATGAAATCAAAAAGTTCCGGACTATGTATGAGACAGCAGACCTCAGAAAACCGCACACTTGGTTTCCGTTTGCACGGGCCATGAAACGGAAGATAATTTATCACTGTGGACCAACAAATAGCGGTAAAACATATAATGCTCTACAAAGATTTACAGGAGCAAGCAAGGGAATTTATTGTAGTCCACTTAGATTATTGGCTATGGAAGTTTTTGACAAGGTCAATGCGATGGGGGTTTACTGCAGTCTCCTGACGGGGCAAGAAAAGAAGTATGTCCCATTTTCCAGTCATGTTGCATGTACTGTGGAAATGGTGTCGACAAATGCATTGTATGACGTGGCTGTTATTGATGAGATTCAGATGATGGCAGATCCATATAGAGGCCATGCATGGACAAGAGCACTGCTCGGATTGAAGGCTGATGAGATACATCTGTGTGGAGATCCTAGCGTACTGAATATTGTTCGAAAGATATGCCAAGAAACTGGGGATGAGTTGTGTGAGCAACATTATAAGAGGTTTAAACCGCTGGTAGTTGAGGCAAAGACCCTACTAGGAGATCTTCAAAATATTCGGTCTGGTGATTGTGTAGTTGCCTTCTCAAGGAGAGAGATATTTGAGGTTAAACTGGCCATTGAGAAACACACCAAGCATCGGTGTTGTGTCATATATGGAAGCTTGCCACCAGAAACTCGGCGGCAGCAAGCTAGCTTGTTTAATGATCAGGATAATGAATATGATGTTTTAGTTGCTAGTGATGCAGTGGGAATGGGCCTTAACCTCAATATTAGAAGGGTAGTTTTTAATAGCCTTTCAAAGTATAATGGTGACAAAATTGTTCCTGTTCCAGCATCACAAGTTAAGCAAATTGCTGGAAGAGCTGGTAGAAGAGGATGTATTTATCCAGATGGACTCACCACTACCTTGCATTTAGATGATTTGGACTACTTGATTGATTGTTTGAAACAACCTTTTGATGATGTCAAAAAGGTGGGTCTTTTTCCTTGTTGCGAACAGATTGAATTGTTTGCTGGAAAACTTCCAAATCTAGCATTCAGCCAACTGCTTGAAAAATTTGGTGAAAGTTGTCGTTTGGATCATTCATACTTTATGTGTCGATATGATCACATAAGGAAAATTGCTAATATGTTGGATAAGGTTCCAGGATTATCTCTAAAAGATCGGTTCAACTTCAGTTTTACTCCTGTTAATGTTAGAGATCCAAAAGCAATGTACCACCTACTAAGGTTTGCTACAACTTACAGTCAGAATGGCCCAGTCAATATAGCTATGGGTATGCCAAAAGGTTGTGCTCGGAATGATGCAGAACTCATTGACCTTGAGACTAGGCATCAGGTTCTATCTGCCTATTTGTGGTTGTCAAACCAGTTTAACGAGGATAATTTTCCATATGTGAAGAAGGCTGAGGCAATGGCCAATGACATTGCTAAGTTACTTGGTCAATCTCTTTCCAGAGCTAATTGGAAGCCAGAATCAAGGGGTAATGCAGCAAAAGGAAACACTGCCAAAAAGGAAGGTCAACCAGCATCAACCAATGCTGTGGAACTAAAAACTGAAAAAAAGGGCTTTGGTTATGCAAGGCCCCAATCGCTCATTAAATTGTTTAACAAGTAAGTTGCTCTATATTAGGCCAGGATCAAAATGTTTATTTTATTTCGTTGTATTCTGGAGCCCAGACACCTCTTCTTTCGTTAAATAAATTGTGTTTTTATTTTATTTTTGGAATATCTCATTTGCAGCGTTGCATGTGACATTCATGCATAAGGTATCTGGTTATTAATAGTGGCGTGCACTTTTATATCTCCTTTGGTTCATCTGTGCGTCTTATAAATTCTAGTTGGTGAATATAGTTGTGGCTTGTGGATTTTGTACAAGTGTCGCAGGTGGTTAAAAGGATGGAAGTATTTCATAAATTTCTGGTCTAATGATGAGTTAATTTTTCCAGTTGGAGTTGTTTTGTAGTGTAGTTTTCCTTTCTTCTGTTATTCTTTTATTGTATGTGGATACTCGAAGTGGGTGATCAAGATTGTAGAAGGGATGATTGTGATGCCATAAGCCCATAACAACCTTGTTGTCATGCTCAGTGAATCTTTTTTGAGTGGCTGGCTCTCATCTCCTATCTGACGAGTGTCATATACCTTTTTTCACCTCCCTGAGTACTCTGCACTCTTGATTTCGGGTCATCTCTTTTCTTATGTACGTTTACCCTTGTATGTTTCTCTGCTTGTGACCTTTTATTTTCCTCCGTCTACCTCTTATAATCCACAATGTGAACTCTGTCCTTGTTCAAGATTTTACTTATTCTTGCCTGTCTGACAACCAATTGTGCTTTGTGCAACTCAGGAAACAGCATGAAAAGTCCTTGCAGCTTGAGTAGTCGGACAAGGTAGCTGCTTAATGTAATTACTATTGAGGTAATTCTATTAAAATATGTATCTATTTGTAGTTAATATAATTTATATATATAGTTGTAATGATTATCTGGTGTAAGTTGATTGAATCTTGATGCTTCTCTGAAGAGGACATTGCAGCAATCCGTGCGATGTGGTAGAGACAAGTCTGTCAAACTGAAGTATTATAGCCCTTTAGCATGGTAAGTCTTTGAGTGGACAGTCTCTTAACTCTTGGGTTATTTAGTTCTGTTCTTATGCCACATTCATTTTAATTTTCTCTTTCAGCAGTAGATTCCGCTTGATGAAAATTATTTGGTGCAAGTTGATTAAATCTTGATGCTTCTCTGAAGACATTGATGATTCCAAGAGGGATGCGGCTGGGTGTTGAAGAAGGCAGAACTAATGCTGACTTTAGTTTATACTAGGAATAGAGGCTTACAGAGTATGTTATAGTTGAAATATCAAACGCTCCAACTTGGGTATGATAATGTACATCTGTGTAACTCACAGCACGCTAGATTCAACTCCGATAGGCAATCAGTTGTTAACATTTCAATTTGTTATGGTGTTATGTTTACATCCTATGGTATTCTGTCCAGGATTATGGAGTTGAAAGAGTCTATTCAATGTCCTTTTATACTTCTCTTTCGTTTCTGGACTCAAGTGGCATTATCAATGAGTTAATATTGTACGATTATATTTATGAGGTTCAAAATGATAAAGGAAATATCGTGGAATTCATATTATGTTGTACCTTTGGCCAAAAGAAGAGATATTATGTTGTACCTGCAAGGCTTTGTTGACAAATTTTCAGAGTAGATGATATAAGTTGTCAATGACCCATCCTCTGTCTCCTTTGTTCCTGCAGCTGTATAGGAACCTCTTTATGCATGGCTTGGATTTTGATGCAAGGCCCAAGAATCTAGGATCCAAAAGACTGGAACATTTTTTGTCAATATATACCAATGACTACACAGTTACAGATTTTAACTGGTTCAATCTTGAGGAAGTCATTATAATGCAGAAAGTCATTATTGTCATTACATGGAAAAACAGCGTGAGGGAATCACAAGACTTTTAACGTGGTTCAATATGAGAAGTTCATTATAATGTGGAAGCTATTTCAATTGTTAACATGAAAATTGTTGTCCTTCATGCAGGATGTTTAAATAGTTGGGACTAGTATGTCCACTTGTGGTCATGCTGTATGTTTTAGTCTCTTATTTGAAGCTGACAGGCAGTAATAATATTTGCAAAATAAATGAAGGAAGGAAACGATTCAGATTTTTTATGGAGAAACAGTCTTGTCGTTACTTGTGATAGATGTTTCTTTTCTTTTTTTTTGATGAGTTGTGATAGATGTTTCTAACCCGAGATTCACTGCGGTTTTATCTACGCGCTCCATCAACATTCTGCTGCACAATATGTTCAGACTGAGGTTTGTTGGGTTATTAAATTGTGTGGCATATTGATGAAAACGAAACTCCAGAAACAGTGTTATTCCATAGCAGAACTCATCCACAGAGTGGAAGTCGTGGAGGCTCTCTCTAATGATTGAGGATTTCTTTTGAGTAGCATTGTGGCCGACTAATTTGTTTTGGTTCAGCCATTAGCTGACATATTGATATTGAACTTTTTTTTTCCATTAAAATATTTATATTACTTCCTGTTGTAATTATAAGATTTTATTTATAAATTATAAACGAAGTCTTATAATTAGGATTGGAAGTAGTATTCAACCTCTATAGCTGATTTCTTAATGAAATACTTCCAAGTCATTCTATTTGTTTTATTTGAAAGTTATTTTTTTTTATAGTCCTCTTTTTTCTTTCAATTTTAAGATTTTTTAATTTTCAACGTAAAAATTATTTTTGTATCTCAGTTGGGCAGCACATAATATAAATTTTCATGATTTTTTAAAATTATGTTTTATCATTGTCAAAAATAGACTATAAACGTTATTAACAATAAATTAATGTTAATTTTTTTATTTCTCTGTGCACGGGGAAGTAAATTTAGTTTCTAATAAAATCGCAATATAAACAACTCTTTTTTATTCTACAGTGCAGATATTTCATATGACCAAGTTATTCCGTTGATCAAACCTTGAAAGTATGATTTTTTATTGTCAGTTTTCGATCATTTAAATCACGGCTCAAAACGTCTTGTTTATATGATTTATGACAAAATTAAAATAACAAAGTAAGAACCTAAAAGGGGCCATCAATAAGAAATTAATTTAAGATGATCTAATTCAATGGCATATAATATATTTTATTTTAATTTTAAAAATAAAATACTAACAGATAAGAGGTATTTTAAGCAAAATCCATTTTATTCGATGGTATAGGCGTATAGCTGTTTGCACTTTGGACGCATCAGACTCGGTGGTCCCACCTTCTTCAGTCCCAAAATATCTTTATCTGATAATCTTAAGCCAATGTTCGATTGAACGGTGGGCCCCACTCCGTCCCACGGTCTGTCCAACCCAGCACTACTTTTTGCTTCAGAAACCCCTCCGCTGATTTTCCGTCTCCCCCGACCACTAACCCTTGCGGACCTCCTTCTTTGCCTCAAAAAGTATTTAACTTTGCTGTCTCACATATTAGGGTTCTCTCAGAATGGTGGCAGACAAGGCCAAGAAATCTAAACTTGCAGAGACAGGTCAGGACGTTGATTCTGATCCCGTTGACGGTGAACTCGTTCTCTCTATTGAAAAATTGCAGGAAGTTCAGGATGAACTCGAGAAGGTTCAATCTTTTATTTCTTTGCCCTTCCATTTTTAACTGAATGCGTGTAATGTGTTTATATGTCTGTGTAATTGTAATACCACATTTCGCTGATCACTGTCGTCAATTATGGTGGTGCATTACTTGCAAGTGTGTTTTACATTCCCATTCCATTCACGGCAGAACAAGAAGAATGTGGGTTTGTATGATAATATTTTTTACTTCTCTAGAAGAAAGAAGTTGCTGTTGAGATGATTTAGCGACATTCATTGAGTTTGGAGGTTATGGCTTATTACGCACTTACGAATTTCAACAATGGGTTTGGTGGCTTTTTTAAAGCTTGTTCTTTGGAGGTCTGAATTATAGTCGTGAATTTATCTTTGCAGCGCATCTTTTATATTCACTTTAGTCAATGAGATCGTTGTCTAGTACTGTCTTGTAGAATCACGTCTTACTTCGAATCTATAACGATTTCATAATTTTTAGGATGTGTTTTATATATAATGCAATTTAACAGAAAATAATAAATATATAGCCAAAGCTACAAAGGGAAAGCCTTTAGTGAAAATTGAAGGGACCTCTGACTTTCTATACAAGATCGGTAATTGTTGGTTCCTTTTGGTGCTGCTTCTTTCGAATTCTATGGAGCCCTCCCCCTTCTCCATTTGTTGCTCAGGAAAAGGGCAGTGCTTTCTTTAATCATGCACAATTATGAATCGTGCTCCCAGTGGAATTATTCAACCCAATGTAATCTCCAAGGTCAAGTTACTAACTTCTGAAATGACGGCTGTTAATTAAATACCTTTGAGGATGTTTAACTGTCAACAAATTAACATATATGTATATATATTAAGAATATTTTTTTATTGATTGATGAGGCAGATAAGTCTGGATTGGTTGGCAAGAATGAAAGAATTTAATGTACTGTCACTAACACTAGACTGAGTCAGTTAATTATAGTTGAAATTCTGATGATTCCTATGAAATTACTTTTTGTATAAATCTCTAACTTTAAGGATGGAATTCTGATTAATAGCGATGGTCTTTTCCCTCTTTTGCTGCCCTCTTATCCCTTCACTCCCTCTGTGCTGTATTTTCAGTACTGTCACTATGAATCTCACATCGCTTCGTGATCATGTTTTATTCTTTACAGGTTAATGAAGAAGCCAGCGATAAAGTTTTGGAAGTTGAGCAGAAATATAATGAGATACGCAAGCCAGTCTATGATAGACGGAACGAAATCATCAAAGCTATTCCTGACTTCTGGTTGACTGCTGTTAGTAATCATTCATTTCTCTAGGAATAACATTGAAAACGGGGGATCAGGGGAGGGTTAAGTTCATCTACTGGCTATAAATCTCTTAGCTCTCTTTTTAAGTGACAGTGCTGTAGTAAATTTTCCATTTGACTCATTCTATCTTTCACTTTGCAGTTCTTGAGTCATCCTGCACTATGTGACCTCTTGACTGAGGAAGACCAAAAGGTTGGAAAGTAATCGGAAATTTGCTTACTTTTATTCTATTGAAGCCTTTTGGACCAACATTTTCCTTTGTTCATCATTCATAACCTTCATTTTTGCAAAGAGTTGAGAGCCTAAAGCTGTTTGACACTTGAGTTACTAATTATTCTGATATATATGTGTGGTATGCTTGAGCAATTTCTTATATATGTATTTTTTCTTTTCTGTGGATATAGATCTTCAAGTATTTAGATTCACTTGATGTTGAAGACTTCAAAGATGTGAAGCTGGGATACTCCATCACATTTGTGAGCTTCTCTTCTCAATCTTGCTGATTTGTTCTTGGGCATGATCTACTAACGCCCCTGTTCATTTTCTCCTTTGAGGGAGTTGTGATTTGTGAATATGTATTGTAGACCTTATATTTTCTACTGGGATCAACTTTCATCATTGATTGGCGATTGAATATGATGATTTCTTTTCTAACATGTTTTTTATATCTACAAATTCATAACAGAATTTCAAGGAAAATCCTTGTTTTGAAGATTCAAGGTTGACAAAAGCTTTCACATTTTTTGATGACGGAACAACTAAGATTACTGGTACAACTATCAAGTGGAAGGAAGGCATGGTAATTCAGTTATGATGAGTTACTTGGCATGTTTTCATTTTTCATTCTTTTGGGAACATTGATGATAGTTTCTTCTTTGGGAAGGGTGCTGCTAATGGAGTACATCAGGAGACAAAAGGAAGCAAACGCCCCCTTGCTTGTGAGAGGTATTTGTCTGATTAATTCATGGCCTGTTATGTGTGTGGAAAGTCGAAAGGACTGGTGAGACATTATGATAGCTAAGTTAATTGGTGAAAATGCTTATGGCCTCTAAAAATTTTTTGGATAAAGGATCTTGGCACATTATTCCATTATTGGTCAAGTTGTTAAGTCCTTGTGTTACACAAATATTTTTCATTGTGGGTTAGTGGAAGGTGTGAATAAATGCAATTGTTAATCTAAACCATGAGGAACGTCCTTGTATCCTGCATTATTAAACATTATTTGAAAGAAAAATCTTGGCCATTTTGGTATTGAAAATGTTGATAAAAAGTTTTTTAATGATTTCATTCATGGATCTATACTCTAAATGCTCTTGTTCCTTTTGCTTTTGGTTGATGCAGCTTTTTCAGTTGGTTCAGCGAAACACAGCAGAAGGATTTGGCAGAGTTTGGTGATGAGGTAAATTTATACATATTAGGAGTGTGTGGCATCCTTACCAATCTGAACCATGATCTACTGATCTCTTAAGGCAATGATTGCACTGTATGATCTTATGTGAGGGAAAATTCCGAGGATAAAAGAACGTAAAATATTTTAATATTATATAGCGTGAAAATTCAACAAAGTTGCGATATTCTTGTTTTCAAATTTACACAGGATGCAAATTGTGTTGCAGGTTGCGGAGATAATCAAGGAAGACTTATGGCCTAATCCTCTAAAGTATTTCAATAATGTAATTCCTTATCATTTAGTCCCATTCAGTTGTCCTGAATATTGGGCAATATACTTATTTCACTTATTCTTTTTATTCCAAATATATGTATAATGTGGGATCTTTATCAAAGTTTGTATTAATTTTACTTGCGCACGTGGATGATTTTATGATTGTTTTGTTGCAGGAAGCCGATGAAGAGGACGTGGACGGGGATGAAGATGGCGAAGAGGTAAGCTATTGTGCGTTCTTGGTGATTTAGTGACTTTATTTTTTCTCTGTTTTATTTATTGACCAAGTTTAATAGTTGATTTATTGACCAAGTTTAATAGTTGAAAGTGGCTCTCCATTTAATGTTTGACATGCTTACAAATCTAACTTAAGGACAAAGAAGTGCAAACTAGAAAATTGTGCTGTACTTCTCAAGCTCGCAGCATATAAGCTTGCACACTGACGGTGATGTGCATTAATTCATTCATACTTGGACATTCATGGCCTCATTGGAATTTGTAATTAATATATTCCTGGTCTCTTGGACATCTTCCCTGCCTCCCAATTCCAGGTTATCCTGTTCAAATGTAAAATGTAACAGAACTTTCCGCAGTAGAATAAAGTTTAATTGTGGCTAACATTTTGCATTTTATTTTGGGATCGGGTTGCCTATTTACAATAGGATACCCTGAAGTCAAGTTTAGCATTGTCCTCTTATTCTAGTGGACTGAAAAAAAGAGGGGGTGGGGGATACAAGTATTGGTTGGTTATTCTTCATTCTGTGGAGGAGGATAACACCTTGGTGTTAACATAGAGTCAATTTGACTCCACCAATTGTCAGACCAGACATCATATAATTGAAAATTTTGTATTAACGGTCATTTTCACTGAAAATCCTTTATAGAATATCATTAAAATTGCCTGCCATTTTTACGAGGGCTCATTTCTCCAATATAGGTGTTTTCTTTCCTTTCTTGCCTGCTCGACGGAGAGGGTAATGCATGCTTGCTTACCTCCACTTGAAGTTACAGAATTTGGCAATACTGATTTTTCATAATATGACGTTCAAATGTAGTAATATCTTCTGTCCACATTAAGGCTTGAATAATGCAAAAAAGAACGTAAACCGTCTTCACCATTTGTGGTATCCAATTGTTTGTCTGCTCGTCAATTGCGAGAAAGTACTGTATCTTGAGGTTGTTAATGCCTCGTACTGTCTATCGAATGTTCCTTTTACTATGTTCCTGACTTCTGATTGTCCTCGTGCAGGAAAATGGAGATGATGAAGATGAGGAAAATGGTGAAGACAGTAATGAGTGAGACAGCCAGACACGTCCTGGCTGGCCTTGTCTTTCGTTCAAGTTCACCAATCAGTAAGTACAAATTAAAGGGTTGCGTGGAGAAACAGTGTCACTGTCTCTACTGATACTGGTAACTGCTCTTTAGGCGAGAGATGTGCTGAGTGTCGAGTTTGAGTTGTTTATTCCATAGGATTGTGACTTTGTTTTCTTTTCGGCCTAATAGGATTGCTACTCTGTTAGTTTGCAAGTTTCCTGCTTTATGATAGGTTCAATGCCATATCCTTCCTTAACAAATATAGGGCGTTTCAGCTAATTTAAGGACTCGGTCTATACAAGGTCATTTTAAATCCATTCTTTGGTATGATGACCTTGTCAGTAAGGTGTTACCTATATAATCAAGGTCATATGCTGCCATTTTACTACTTGCAATGCAAATGCTTATAGTTTCTAGTCACAACTCATTGTTGATGTTTTTGGAGTCAGACTAAGTTGGGCTGACCTTTTTAATCATCAACTTGAACTGAAATGAAACTTCACTGGCTTTGGAAGAACCAATAACTGAATCTTGAAGAAAGATGAAAAGAAGAAATTAAATATATTCAAAATTTGAGAGCATACACTTCGTTCCGTGAAAGCCCCAAAAATCACATTCTTCCCGTACCATCACTTAAGCGTCCCGATCACATCTGTGGCAAAGTTGCGACTAATCTCTGTACTTTAGCAAGTTGAGAGAAGATATTCTTCACCCAGTAGGAAAATACTCGAGCCATCTGGAAGACTGAAAAAAGGATATACGCCGGTGAACCTGAAGGAGAGAATATGACGGCTGATGGCAGCAGAGCAAGGAGCTGTGAAACCGGTCTAGTTTGACAATCCTTGCTCATGGTAGCTAGAGTGCAACAGAGAACACTAGGATATGTTGCTCGGATGAGGGAGGGATCTAGCAAGAGGAGAAACAGTAGATGAGGAAGCAATCGAATGAGCAAGAGCCATTCAGAGAAAAAGAGAGTATTTGAGGGGAGGGAAAGATTAGACCTGATGTTGGTTGTTTTGCTAGTGGAAGCAACATTGAAATTATTAAACTAATAGTGTACAAAGTTTCTTTCTCACGTTCTTTTTGTGCAAAGATCTCATTTCTGTTGGGGTGAGCTATCTAACTTGGATGAATCAATCAATCATTCAAACATCCAAATGGCTACTTTGAGGGCCACGCTTGCACACTTATTTTTGCCTCACAGCTTCAACTCCAACACTATACTATCTGCATTTTTTGACTGCTTTGCAAGAGAGGTGAAGTCGGCAACCCCCTTGATGATGTCTCCTTCACGATCGCCGCCGTATACCTTTCTTCAGCCTTCATGATCGCTCAAGGCTTCTGTCTTCTTCTTTTTTGGGGGGGGGGGGGAGAGGAAATCAGAGGATTAACAGCACTCAAAGTGTTGTTTGGGGTTAAGTGCTGAGATGGAAAATTAATGCACATGGCATATTTTGATTGGCTTCCTACACCTCCTTGATCTAATTAACTTGACTAAGCCTTGTCCAAAACTAAATTAATCTAAAGGCTTAAAAGACTTTGTTTTTCATAAACGGGTAAAAATACTCCTAGTGATATACTTCTTTTAGTACTTAATATAAGATCTAGTTGACTAATTTGGATAGATTAAGGAAGTTAGTTAAATTAGTTATTTGTAGTAAATAAATATTGTTTTCCTTAAAATACTCCTACTAATCATATGTGTTTAAAGTACCTGTTAATATATGGAACCACTATAAGGATTATTTGAGGGCAAAATGATTAAATATTGGAGACAGAATGAATAGGACCAAATTGAATATTAAATTATTTCTTATATTAAGTGCTGGAATTATTACCATTAGATGGTGCCACTTATAACAGTAGAGTTATCAGAAATTTTAAGAATGATCATATCAAGTTTGTTATCACTTATATCTCAATTTTAATGAAATTGGTATGCGCAAATTATATGTTACAAAGGTAAAATTTATGTTCATTAAAATTATCACCTAAATTTAATAGATTTGCAATAAATTTTTAAGAGCATCATTTTGAAAGAAAGTTACATATCAATCCTCCTATAATTTCCCTAAAACAAAACTCATTCATCATCACCACCATCATCACGTTGTTAATCAATCGTAAGGAATTTGGCCTACTTACAACAAAAATTAAGGTCTTGTTAAGTTGTGTAAATAATTAAATTTATGAGATTTCCAGTTTAAATCTTGTAAATTTATAATATGTAAATATAATGCTATCCCTAATCCTTAATATAAGAGTTAGTTGACTAATTTGAATAGATTAAGACAGTTTATTGAGTTAGTTAATTGTAATAAATAGATATTGTCTTTCCTAAAATACTCTTACTAATCATGTGTATTAGTTAGAACTACTATTTGATGAAATATTTAATATGCATAACTATTACAAGGACTATCTTAAAAAATAAATAAATATATGAGATAAAATGAATTGAGATTTTATATTTAAAATTAAATTAAAAACCAAACTAAAGTATATCTCAGAAGTTACCGTCTAGAGCGTTCCAATTCGATCTAGACCTCCCTCCTAATTCATTTACAAGTCATACGGCGAAAATTGGAGGAAGCTCAACAGACGAAAGACTCTTCAACATTTGGCTGTTTAGTTTCCTCCAATATCTCATCTCATCGATGACCCGTAAAGTCATGAGTTCTCTTCTCTCGCCATCATATGCAAATCCACAGGAGATCCCATTAAATCCATAGTCATCACGACCCAATTCCGGCGAGTCATTCACATGCCTTCCAAAGGCAAACAGGCAAACAATATATAGTCGGTACGTAAGACGAATCATCGATTGGTTTCATCGTTGATATTCCTATGCTACTTTGGCTAACGTAAGCAAGCATATCCATAAACAAACTAGATAGGAATCAGAAAGCCAAGAAACCCCACATCCGTGAATACTGAAATTGACCTAGCTAGACAGCTATATATTGATATTCCTTATAATTTACACCTCCAAAGGAATGAAGCTTTGTTTATGGGTTCAATGCAAAACTGAAAGAATGGCAAGTACAACAGATTTTCGGGATAACACTGAAGCAATCATCCGCATGCTACTATGCTCTTCCGTTCCTTTTTGTACAGACCATTAAAAATGAGGGCTAGAAATTAGAATTGAGATTGAAAAAATTTATTAAAAAGTATTTAACATGTATGTGGGATTGGGGAGTACTGAGTAGAGATCATATTTCTCAATCCTATCTCTATGAGTTTGTCTAATTTCATGTAATAAAAAATTACTTATGCTTAATACTTTTTTAATGACTTTTTTCAATTGTAATCACAGTCTTTATTTCTTAATATTTTATACCAAATAGAACCTTCATGTTATCCCGATTCTTGTGAAAGCCCGTACGATGAGAAAGTGGGAAAACGAAATATAACCACTCACTCCAAAATTAATGGGAAGAGCAAAATTAATTTCATTTGATAAGTTTGAATCGCATCTCACAGCTGGGTCTAGATGGGCAAAACCCAACCAAATAGGAATTATTTCATTCGTATAATAAGTTATCTCCATGGGCTGAAAAGCTAATGAAATGATTCGGACCAGAAAATGATGATTGGAAATCCAAAATTATCCAAAAACCGTTTATTTTGAGAAACTGGAGATGGATCTTGAGTTTGACGCCTGTGTAGAAGTGACTCATAAAGGTGCAAGCATTTGTTTGAATCCACAAGCTCGAGTCACAGATAAATGAGTTAAATGTTTCTAAAATTGGAGGCAGAAGCCAAATCTTCGTAACAGTTCCCAGCAAGCCCTCCTACTATTAAGAAAAAAGAAAAAAGTGATCGACACGGGCACAGTTCATTGAAACCAACTAAAGCTTGCGGCAATTCATGAACTGGACTCTTCAACTCATGGGGCAACACAAACTGCTCAAGGCTTCAAGCAAGATAGCGATACAGTTTTCTGTCCAATTTATCCCTCTCCAAGAACTCACGCTCAATAAGAGATTCAATTCGCTTTTTAATGACAACGGGATTAGGCAAAAACCGTGACTGCAGCTGCTTTGTGACCTCAGTAACTATATTATTGTGATCTAGAGTCCGCCTTGCTTTCATAATCCTGACAATTGCTGCCTCAATCTGTGGCTTCCTGTCTTCTTCAACTCTCTGCCGAGTTTCTATGTTTTCTGGCTCAGATTCCCTCTGTGCAACAACAGTACCTATCTTCACCTTGATGAACTTGCTTGTGAACTTGTCATTGAAGAAGAATGCATCATCCTCAGCTATGTCCTTACTCATGGGCTCCTTCCGAAGCACATTCTTTCCTTTGACACATGCCAAAGACTGAAGGCACCTTTTCAAATCTGACAAGGGTATCCGTGTGGCCTGCTCTATCTCCTTGCAAGTCAATCCATCAGCATTGTTAAAGAGCATGAGTACACACATCTGGTATGTGGAAACATTCAACTCATGCTTCTGGCCCTTAAATGTTGCTTTCAAATCAGCTGTGCCCATATTTGTTTGCCAGGACAACCTCCTACCATTGTGGGTCCCGAGATAATAACTGCGAAACTTCTCACACACACCCAAGATTTCTACAGGAAGATTGCATTGAGGACTGGGCTGAGTTGGCCACGAACCTGTTGTGAGCACATGGACAGAGAGCGTAGGGCTATCCCCAGTCTCAGCACCATGGCACGCATAGAAACCTTGGATTGTATCCTCAGAGGTCTTCATATCGGTAAACATGCCTTCTAACTTAGAAGTAAATTGATATCCACACTCTGTCTTGAGCTTAACAATTAAACTTCTTTCAGCATCATCAGATACAGTTTTCCCAGAGAGCAGCCTTTTGGCAAGATGTTGCTTGTAATATTTCTCAAATACATCCTTCTCTTGTAGGTACCGGAAAAGCATCATGACTTTGTCCAGCACAACCTCCACATCCTCCTCACCAACCCCCTTCAACCCTCTGCGAAGTTTATCATCCACAAACAAAGAAATGAACTCTGGTGATCGAACATTCAAATTGATGAAATATTCAAAAGAAGAATTCAAGGCATTCTGAAATGTCTTGTCATTGTGGAAAGCCAAAGCGATAATCTTGTCATATTTATCTTTCAAATCCAAGAGTCGCTGCACAAAATCTACAGGATCCCTTAACCTGTCTGGATCTGTAACGAGCTGCTTACCTGTATCACGTATATATGAAGTCATGACCTCTTTGACAATAGAGAGCCCAGCAGGCACCCTGTGAAACAAGTTATACATTCTTCCCAAGTCCTCATATTTGTCATCCACAAGCATGTTCACAAGGCCAGAGTTCTCCATATGAACTAGAGTAAGCATATGACTTTCAATCATCTCCTTCTCTACCACATTGGTAATCTTTGACTCACTAGAAGAATCCAAGTAGTGAGACACTCTCTCAATTTCTTCATTTAAACGTCTCTCGGCTTTCTTAAGATAATCTCCACAATCACACGATTCAATGAACTTCTGGGACTCAAGACAGTAAAAATCAGCAGAAACTTCAAGAAAGTGCTTCTCAAAGTCATCCTGGTAAACAGAGTAACCCAAATCCATTAGCATCTTTGTAATGTTTCTCATCAGGCCCCTATTTATTACCTCACCATTCCTTTCTCTAAGTATAAGATCGAGAAGTGTATCCCGGAGCCTTGCTTGAGCTTTGCTAGAGTGAATCACAACATCCCTCCAAAGATTCAACCCAAGCTCATGAACTGGTGTTTTATGGGTACTCGGTATGAATGTTCTATCCATGTACATCAGTATGTCTCGAATCATTTGCAAAGCCTTGTTGTGATCTGCCCACTTTCTATTGACCTCTTCCAAGAAGATCTCTCCTTGAGAAGCTTCAAGCGATTTAGATATCTCTTTAAGATGATAAGTCATAGTCATAGCAAGTCCTGAGTACAACTTCTCCCCAAATTTATGAAGCACCATGTTATAAGCATTCCTAAATGCACAACACATGATCAATGATCAGAAATATCAGCAACATTGGGAAACTATAGTGGTTATTGTAAGTAAGCTCCGGCAGCCCATTGGAACTACATCATGTTTAAAGAAATATTTTAAGTCTATATGATACAATTGTAAATGGAGATGTCAGACTAAAAATTTTGTTGAACTACGCAACTCAGTATTGCTATAATAGATAATTATTTCATTAACCTAATAATTGAATTTCCGAACATTAATCCTTTCAATTGTTTCTAGTAAGTTTTGAAAATATATGTTTGTTAGCCAAAGATTTCTAAAAAGTCTCGAACTATAAACATTCTAATATTATAAATCGGTAATAGAAACTTTCACCACCTTCATGATTGAGCCAAAAAAAAATAGAAGTCAATGCCTTTTAATTTGATTGTGTGAATCGTGAAAAGGTTAGGAGATCTAAGAACTCAATCTGAAAGCCTCCTGACTATGAACATCACACATTTTTCTGATGTCTCCAAATGATCGGATCTGAACAAGCCTGGGTAGTGGGAACACCAGCTCAAGCTTAACTTGAAGACCAGGGAAACTACAGATGGACATGAAGCCAAGTGGGCAATCATGTTAAGCACTAGGTGCTGGAAACTCTGGGATTTTTGAAGAAGTGTCTTTGCCAATGAAAGCTTTAGGTTGGATCAAATGGTTCGTGAGATGGTGCAGTACTACCTCTGCGCTTTCTTCAGTGCATGCCACATCAAGGCCTCAGATAATAATACTAGCAGGGAAAAGGCGGGATGGAATAAGCCTTCAGAAGGACGGACCAAAGTGAACTGTTATAGAGCACCAAAGGGCTCTAAAAAGGTGGCTGGTGCTGGTGCTATTACACATGATCATGATGGGGATTGGAGAGGAGGAGTCTGCAAAATATTGGGTAATATAGCATCTTGAATGCGGAATTATGAGGAGTGTTAAATGGACTTGAACTAGCATTGGTTTTGGGTTTCAGGGAAGTCCAAGTGGATAATAGCTTAGCCACTTACACATGTACGGGCATGAATGATACCACCGGATTGGTGGAGGACGTCAAGCATTTGCTAGAGAAGAATTGACGAGTGGAAATTAGACATGTATATTATGAGGGAAATAGATGTGCAGACTTCCTAACTAGTTATGCATTAGGTTTGAATGCTGGCAGTCATGGGATGGAGCAACCACACCCAACATATCCTGTGAATATAATACATGAGAACTTTAGGGGTTTTCTGTTGCCTTGCATGTATCCTCTCTGATGCTTTTGATGCATAAATGAACTCCTTTTGATGCCTCAAAAAAAGGAAGCAGCACAACAACTTAGGTACCGCGTCTAGCCATAATGTCGTCTAATACACCAATGTTAGACAACAAGTACAATATCAATATTAGACTATTAGTACAATATCAAAAGAGATATAAACGGCCAATCTTCGTCTTTCAAAAAAAGGCAATATAAAGTTTTCAAAGGTGCTCTTTGACACATGGGAAATATTTTTCCAAGCACCTGGAAGCCTATTTATAAGATGTTTGAATATAATAAATATGAAAAAAAAAAATTTAACTTGCACACGCTCTAATAATATAGGGGGCTGATTTCTTTATATATTTCAGGCTCAAATGTTTTCCAGGAACGTGAAAAATTACTGTACTGACAACAAAGACCTCCTGGGTGATAAAGCTGAAGTTACTCGCAATCATTTTCCTATTCCATTATGATTATGTTCTCCCAGTCATTACTATTTTGAAACATGATTTCAAAAAATTTTAAATTCATAACTCATCTCTACTATTGCTATTTTGAAAATACAAGAACTCATTAGTCTATCAAAAAAAAAAAATACAAGAACTCATTAAGTGAGAAATCGGGACAATACAGGGGGGTGAAGGTACTAACAAAGAAAAAGAATATCAGCCTATAAAGGGCAATCCAGTCCCTGCTCGTATACGATGAAGAAATTTCATTTAAAACCCAAGAGAGGAAGTCCACAAGGATGAAACTTATCACATAAAAGTTGAGAAGGAAGACACCTCTCATTAAAGAAATAGACTTAAGATTACATCGACATTTGCTGGTGAAAAAAATCATCCAAAGCCCCTTAAAAAATTTAATACTATGGCTTGACAGTAATTCTTGAATTATAAGTTATTCACGTTAAATAGACTTCTAATAACAAACATAATCATTTAATTTCAATCAACTTGAGAGAAGAAAACCTGTTTCTAATTTTCATGCCCTTAGACTACAGTTTATTAACATGGAAGAAATAAAAGCAGACTTTAGGAGACCCGTTAAGTCATATAACCACCGTCATACAACACATAACCACATTATCCAGCCAAAGATCAACAGGAAGGAAAAAGGAAGAATTTAATTTTATTGCACACGAACTTACTTATAACATCAAGAACTGAAGAAAGTAGCTAGAAGAACTAATAAAGAACATTCATTTCAGTAAGGCATGCAAAGCAAGGAAGCAAACCTATAAAGCTCTTCAAAACTAAGTCCACTAGCATTATGATTGTAAATCTCATGAATTGCATGCTCCAAAACCTTCCACGTCTTATCTGCATATTTTGGATCCACCACAACCCGGTGCTTAAACGCCTCTATTTGGAAGCCCCTCTTCTTCTGGGCACTCATGTTCTTTAATTAAACTAATCCAGAGCTTTCACAATAAAATCAAACCAATCCTGAACCTGAATTTAGACGCCGAAGTGAGCCTAGACACTTAATTCAAAAAAGATCCTCAGAATTCAGTGATCGAGACAGGCGGAAAACCCTAGCGTCGCTGGATGCTGTTGAATTATGACTTTTTGCTTTGAGGACTTTAGGATGCTAAACGAATTCACATACTAGGGTTTTTCAGTCAAGACGAGAACCAGCATAGACAGACCTAAGAAGAAAATACGGGGAGGAACAAGAGAGAGAAGAAAAAACCCCGAAGCTGGGCTCTCCTGGACTCCAAAGCGCTAAAGCTAGGGGCTACAATACTGTCTTTTTCTGAAGAGCATTATACTACTAGTTGTTTCCCATTTCCCTAAAACTAATGTGACCCATTTCAATTTTACATTATTGATTATTTTATTAAAAAAATTGGCCAAACAAATTATTTTTAATTCTTAAACTAAATACTACCTCTGGTCCTAATTATAAAACCCAGTTAATTAATTTGATGAGATTAAAAAAAGTTAAATTAGTTATTTGTAATAAATAAGTGTTGTCTTTCCTAAAATATCGTTACTAATCAACTATATTGGTTAGAATTACAATTATTAGAAGAACTACCTTGAAAAAAAATGTATAAATATGAGAGACAAAGTGGATTGGGGTCTTATATTTAGAACCAAAATAAAAGTCAAATATGGTCTTATATTAAGGACCGGAGGTAGTAACTATCATCTTCAGTCCTTAATATAAAACCTCGTTTGATTTTTATTTTAATCATAAATATAAGACTTCAATCCATTTTGTCTCTCATATTTATTCATTTTTTTCCAATATAGTCCTTCTAATAATAATAGTGATAGCCAATAAACTTGATTAGTGAGGATATTTTAAAAAAAAATAATACCTATTTATTACAAATAACTAACTTAACTTATGATTTTAATCTACTCAAATTAATCAACTAGCTCTTATGTTTAGAACCAGATGTAGTATTTTATATTATAGATAAATTTGATTATCATGTAAAGACTGCTATGGGAGTGAATATGATTCACATAACCCCAATCTTTTGTGTAAACCAAAAGTATAGTAATCTTACTTATAGACTAATAGTTTGAGTGAGCTGGGAGTTGACTATTTTAATCTTTCTTCACGAGTTTTTACTTACATTTTTATTAAAAAAATAGTTAAATTAAATATTTCTAATAAATAGGTGTTTTCATTTATAAAATATTTTTATTAATCATATGTGTTTGAATCATCTCTTGATAGAAACTGTTTAATCTATGCAATCATTATAAGAATTACTTGCAGCAAAATGGATAAATATTAGTGTAGGAAAATGGGCCAGTCCACCCTTGGTGGATTGGGCCCAAGCCCATTAAATTTGGGGCTCTAATGCAAATAACATAACCTGTGGGTCTTAAATAGTTATTTGCAATTTTTCCTTCAGAATATGGATAAGGACAGACGGGGCGGTAGTTTTATTTTTCAGAGAGAGATAGGATCAGTTTAAAAACAAAACTGATTTATTCAACCGCTTTTCAACTTCTTCCCGCCTGCGTATCTCCTCTCCTCTTCTCCTCCAACACACAAAAAGTGCATTTGCTGTGAACGTTGATTCCTATTCATTACTGTGATCGGAATTCCGCGCGTGGCTACCTAATCTAAGATTACTCGGCACTTCAGGTATGCCCGAATACCATTATTGGCATCAGAGCAAGGTTCTATTTCTTCCGCTGCCCTGTTTCATCTTCTGCGTTGTTTTTTTTTTTTTGTTTTGTTGTGTGCCTCACGGTTGGCACTTCATTCCCACTTCAGTGATTTGCTCCCAGATATTAAGCAAATCTTCTCTTTATATTCAGCATGATAGTTGTTTATAATGATTCTGTGTTATTAGTTTTTTTTTCCCGCTTCCATGAACGTCGGATGTGAGAGTTTTTTTTTGTTTGTTGTCTCCAACAATTATATGATAGTATTCTGCATGGGAGATGACCGAAAACAATTAAAAACATCTGAAAAACGGTAGAAACGTAGGTTTGGAAGCATGGAATTCATGATGAGAGAGACCCGTTTTCGCACAGTGAAGTTTTTCGTTTTGGGTGTCTGAAAAATGAAGGTTTTAGGCTTCAAAAATTATCCCATTGCGTAGAGCTCGGAAAAACGAAGAAAATGACACCAAGAACGCGAAGAACGGACGTCGGACGGAGGACATATGGGGGAGAGAACAATCCGGGTCCGACGGACCCGACCCGCGACGGAAACCGGGTCGGTCAGACCCGGCTGGAGGTTGAAGACAACCTCCAGCCCCCAAACGACGTCGTTTTGACGTCGTACACAAAAAAAAAAAAAACCAGGCGGGGCGGATGCGTTGGTTGGGCTGGCTTGGTCCGGATCCGGATAGGACCGGACCAAGCCCAACCCAAAAAAAAAAAAAAAAAAAAAAAACAAATATAAAAATATATATAATGATTTAAAAAAAAAAAATCCCCAGAATTGCCACGTGGCGCGTGCCGCCACGTGGCACACCTCATAGACACGTGGACACCACCACCTGAAAGGTGGTGGCGCGTTCGGGCCGCCGTAACGGCGCGTGTCCTCTTCTGCCGGACCCATGGCGGCGCGTGACGTACACGCGCCGACAGCGAGAGTGGGCGAAGTTTTAAAAAAAAAAAATTCGCTAACTCTTCCTTCTAGGGGCGCGTGTAGGCGCGTGAATGGTCCAATTGGGGTGTGGTTTGTCTCTAAAAATCCCTAAAATTAGGATCTTCATTTTAATATATATTTTGATAATTTTAGAGACAATTTAGGATCCATTTATGAGTATTTTGGTGCGTTTTCTGGTGTTTTTATGTGGATAAAAATTCCAGAATATTCAAAATAATTTATATTATTTTGTTCTAGGTGAAAATGGAGCAAGAGGCTTCTAGTAGCACTGAAAATACCGATCATGGTTCATTGGAATACTCATTCCTAGGTGATGGAATTCCAGAATATGAACCTGAGGATGAGGATCCTGAGGAGGACCCTGAAGAGGTTCCTCAAGAAGACCCAGAGGAGTTAGTGGCTTCCGGACCTGAGTCGGAAACTATGTTCCCCACTGAACCTCTCCCATTGAACCTCAATTAGTCTATAAAGATTCACTGGATCTCCCTAATGAAATTGAAGTTGAGGAAGGAGAAGAGGTGAACCAACCTTTGACCCCCGCATTAGCTATGAGTATAGCTGAGAGAGATGCAGCAAAACTGACAAATATAAAAGGAATCAATGGCGTGCTCGCCAATTACATCCAATACATGACCGATAAGAAGAATACAGAATTCTACCTTAAAGTCATAATGGAGTACATAAGAGCAATAAGGGTTAGAGGCGGACCTAAAGGCAAACCCATAAGAAAATCTTACTGGATTTGGGCCATAGAGCTAGTATCCTCTTTTATGAACAAAAAACGCAAACTCAGGAGCCTAAGGAAAGCAATGCTTGATTACCTTTATGTGCATATTAAATAATGTAATATTTACATATGCTTTATTAATATTTGTTGTATTAAGTTTTTTTTATGGTTTCATGCATTGTAAACAGACTAAATATGTTGTTTCATTTAATGAAATTACTTGAATTGTTGTTATATGATTATCTTGTGAATAGTATGTGTATGCTTTTTATAAGTGGGAGCTTTTAGAAGATAAGACTTCTAAGAGTCATAATTTTACTTTGAAGTGCTTATATAAAATCCTTGATAGGAAATAATGTTTGTTGCTTGTATCTGTGTGATGGGAGGTACAAACGTATGCTCTTGATCATGGATCTTGCAGCAACATTACTTTCTGATCAAGGATGATATAAGTACAAGACATTGTACACTTCGCTGTGCTATATATAACTAAGATGTTCTATGGTACGTCTCTTTTAGAGAGAACGTAGAATAATGTGGGATAAATTTGCTTCAGAACTGAAAATGGCAACCAAGAACATAATTGCTGAGCTTAATAAGGGAGAAAAGCTCAACGGGGATAACTGGGACATATGGCACCGAAAGGTTCAATACATCTTGGAGGAACAAGATGCGGTTGAACCTTTAACCACTGCAATGGTCGAACCTGAAGCTGGGAATACGGCCCAACATAGGAGAGACCAAGAGGCTTACCTAGTGTGGAAGAAGAAAAACAGCATAGCAAGAATTACGCTTCTGAGTGCCATGGCTGATGACATTATGTGCGAGTTTGAGAGGCACAAAACTGCACAGGCTATGTGGATAGCGTTAAAGGACAAGTTTGGTGGTACTTCTACCACTAAACTTAGAAGGTTGACGATTAAGTTCGACACCTATAAGCTCAAGCCAAACAATCCAATGAAACAACATTTGAGAGAGATGGCCAACATGATCAGAGAACTTAAGGAAGCAGGCCATGTCCTGTCTGATGAACAGCAAGTACAGGCTGTTATCAGATCGCTTCCTGCTAGCTGGGAACACATGAAAGTCAACCTGACCCATAATGAAAACATCGTTACTTTTAACGATGTAGCCAAACACTTGGAGCTGGAGGATGAACGTTTAGAGGCTTACAAGACCTCTGGACAAGCTTATTACACCGAGGATGCCGGTACTTCCCAATCAAGGCCCGATTCCAAGAAGGGCAAGAAGTTTCAAAAGAAAGGGAAGAAGGGTGGTCCTCAATCCAAAAAAGGAAAGAAGCAATTCAAGAAGAAGGGAAAGAAAGGTGGGAAGAAGAAGCTAGACCTGAAGAAGGTCAAATGCTTCGCCTGCCAGAGAATGGGCCATTTCGCACGTGACTGTTCAAAACAGGCTGAGAGCGAAAAGGTATTAGTGGATTATGTGAATTCACATGTTTCATATGTTTCTAGTACTGTTTTTCTAACAGAACCTGTTTCTTCTTCTTGGATTATAGACTCAGGCTCCACAGACCACGTAACCAGGGATCGAGGATCCTTTATCGAGTACCGTCGGTTGCCGTATCAAAGCAAGTGGCTTTACGTTGGGAACAACGCGAGGATCGAGGTTAAAGGTTTGGGCACCTGCAAATTTACTTTGCGTGGTGGGAAGACCTTGATACTCCATGATGTACTTTATGCTCCTGACATCCGGCGGAACTTGGTTTCTGTATTGTGTCTGTTAGAATTTGGGTTTAATGTAAACTTTCATGGTAAAGTTGCAGACATTTTTAGCAACTCTGTTCTTTATGGTTCAGCTTTCCTGTTTAAGAAGTTCTTTGTTTTAGATATTGTTGGTGATTTCAATAGTAATGAATGCTTTGCTGTTTCTTCGAATAACAT